GGGAGGAAGAAGAGAAGAAAGGAGAGAGTGAGGCAGGAGGAGGAGAAGAAAGGAGAGAGTGAGGCAGGAGGAGAGTGAGGCAGGAGGAGGAGAAGAAAGGAGAGAGTGAGGCAGAAGGAGAGTGAGGTAGGAGGAGAAGAAGAGAAAAGGAGAGCGAGGCAGGAGGAGAAGAAGAAGAGAGAGTGAGGCAGAAGAGGAGAAAGGAGAGAGTGGGGCTGGCTGGGAGGGGGGGGAAGAGGGAGGGAACCGGCCAGCGAGGAGCAGGGCTGGCCCGGGCGCACGCAGATCCCGGGGTGCTGCCCGTCCCGCACACGATCCTGGCGGGGCGCACGGGCGAATCCGGCCCCGGGGATTCCATCCCGCCCCAGCCTGCCCCACCCCCATCCTCTCTACTGTGTAGTAGCACATTGATATTCATGATAATAATAAAACTTACTTCATTAGAAAATACCCGCCATTTCTCTCTCCGGTATTTTCTCCATTTGTTTCCCGGACAGGAAGCTCAAATACCGGACTGCCCGGTTCAAAACCGGACACCTGGCAACCCTAGAGCTTTGCTGAGTAAGGGGCCCAGAGGCAGGCTGGGGCAAATAACAGCATGGACATTAGCCTGAGTAAGGGGGGAGACTCTCCTGTAAGCACTGAACACCATTGCCACAAATGGCGTCCGTCTGAACGTCCGGGCCGAAAAGTTGGCAGCCTTAAGAGGTAGCCCCTGATGTAGCACAGGGCATGTTGCCTTGCTGCAGATAGTCCTTTCAGAAGAGAGGGGGTTATTGGGGGGCAAAAAAGAGGGGCTCCTCCTCTCACCCCACCCCACCCCTACAGAAGGTGGTGACCTGAGCGTGACTAAGGCTGTGTCTAGACTGCAGGCTTCTTTCGAAAGAGGCTCTTTCGAAAGCATCTTTCGAAAGAGCCTCTTTCGAAAGATCGCGTCTAGACTGCAGGCGGATCTTTTGATAGAGGAAATCCGCTTTTTCGAAAGAGAGCACCCAGCGAGTCTGGATGCTCTCTTTCGAAGACGGCCTCTTTACATTGAAGAACGCCTTCCTTCGAAAGAGGAACTTTCGAAGGAAGGCGTTCTTCCTCGTGAAACGAGGTTTACCGCCATCGAAAGAAAAGCCGCGTTCTTTCGAAATAATTTCGAAAGAACGCGGCTTGAGTCTGGATGCAGGGGGAGTTCTTTCGAAAAAAGGGTACTTTTTTCGAAAGAACCCCTGAGTGTGGACACGGCCTAAGTTCCCAGACTAAGCTCTGGGCCCACGTCTGTCCCTGGGGCAGGGAGTCAGGCAGAGGCCGTTTAATTAAGATAAGAAGGGGCTGGTGACTGAAGGAAGGTCTGGAAGCAGGTAGAGGAGCCTGTAAAACAGGAATCCCTCGGCAACGGGGAATGTTGAAAAGAAAAGGCGGCCTTGGCCCCACGTCTGCCCTCAGAAAAGAGGGAGATTTGAGGGGAGCTTGTGAAAAGAAGGGGCCAAAACCGAGGGAAGGGATAGCCATGGTATCGAGAGGAACCTACCCTACCTGAGGGACTTATGTGGCCCCATCACCTCAGCGTTTGAGCGCCTCACAATGTCTGACCTCTTTCCCCTTGCACTGAGCACAGAGAATAAGGGCAGATTTTCGAAGGTTCTTAGGCCTTAGCGGGATTTTCAAAAGCACCTGGAAGGTTTGGTGCTTTGTAAACCACTAAATGCCTCGCTGGACCCCTTGGGGCCTACAAACCTCTTTGACCCTGGGGAGCTGGTGAGGAAGGATGAAGGAAGAAAGTGAGCGACTCAGATGAGAGGCGATCACGTAACCCCCGAAGGGTGGCAGGTTCTGCCCCTGGCAGGATGGCAGAGCGATGCCTGTGGTGGGTTTAACTGGGCACCATTGGGTTTGCTCACTTCTCATTCTGTGCGCCAGAAAAGGAAGGAACGAGAACGCAAGCAGCACGTTGCAATGATTTTCAGGCTAATTCCAGAACAAAGCACAGAAATCATATCCCCCCGAGGCCCTAAGGTCGATGGTAATTGTCCTGATTTGTTTTTATTCACTGGCCACCTACCTACTGGGTGCTCAGCAGTGCGCCGCACATGCCTGAAAACATGTAAGATGTGAGGCTCTGGGGAAGATGGCTCTAATATTTAAGTACAAAGCGGATAGCTATTGAACCCATGTCTGAGTGCAGGTGCTGAGGGCAATATACACTGTACTTGATTAAGGACTAGAAGACTTGACCTGCCTACTTTTTTTTCCCAAGAGGAAAAGCTGTCCAGAACTCCTGGGCCTGTTTTTCCCCCTTTCCTGCCTGCAGTGGGCCTAAGATACCTCAGAGATCTCAACTTTAAAATGTGGGATTTCCTTGGTGTTTGTTTTTATATATTCTCCTGTGAAAACTGCCACTCAGTCAGCAGAGCATTGTGTGTAAGACCCTTCAGGAAAGTCACTAGCCCACTGGTCCCCAACCTTTTGGGGCTGCCGGGCGCCCGGGGGCAGGGCCACTCATGTGCCACGCACCCAGGAATGCCCATATCTGGCTGACTACCATACAGGTCACACTGAAGCTGCAACCAACTTCTGGACATGAGCTCCAGGACAGCAGAAACAGTTTAAATCTTCATTTTGTGAGTACAGAGTTAGTGCAGGTTCTAGTACAAGGGTGGGCAAGAGGCTGCCAGTGGGCTGGATCCAGCCCGCTACGCCACTGAATCCAGCCCATGGCTGCCTCACTAGGACTCTTAATTACAGTGCAGCGGCAGCTGCTTTAAATGTGGCTGCTCTATTCTGGGAGCGAGGAGGGAGGCTTTGTGCTCAGTCCCACCCCTCAGCAAAATCTCTCAGCTCCCATTGGCCAGTTTCCAACCAATAGCAGCTGAGATATTTTGCTGGCGGCAGGGGCAGCCAATGAAGCCTCCTCCGTGACCCCCCTTCACCCTGCCCAGAGCAGAGCCACGTGGAGCAGCTTGGGGCTGCAGCCTTCAGATTCCTGCAGGGCTGCTGGCTGGGAGCTGCCTAGGAAAGCGCCTCCCAGCCAGAGCCTGCCTCTGGCAGCCCTGCTCTCTTCCTTCCCCCCACAACTACCTGCCCCAGGCCGCCACCCAAACTCTCTGTACCCCTTTTCTTTAGGTCACAACTCCCTCCTAGAGCCCCTCCCTCAGGTCAGAATCCTCTCCTGCACCCATACTCCCTCCTGGACTCTGCACCCCAAGCCTCTGCCCCAGAACACAACCCCTTCCTTTACCCAAACTCCCGCTCAGACTCCAGACCCCCTCCTGCACCCAGTCTCCTAACCCAGTCTCCCTTCTGCACCCAACCTCTGTCCGAGACCCCAAACCCCCTCAGTAGAAATGTGGCCTTTGACCATTTGCCAAAATCTTGGAGTGGCCCCCACATTAAAAATTATTGCCCACCCCTGGTCTAGTGGGCTCAGGAGAGCTGGATTCTAGTCCTGGAGCTGGCCTGCTATTTAACCTGGAGCAATTCCCTGTGGTATGGTTGGCCCATTAGTGAAGTGGGGACAATACACCTATAAAATCCTTTGATGCGAGGGAGGATTATTATATTTCTACATGAATAGCCTCTTCCATTCCAAACCTTTCCTGGCACAGAATCCTCGTCTCGTTTTATGTCGTCAGCCATTGCCTGAGATGAGGAGCTACTGAACGTGCCAGTCACCTCGGTACAATCTAGTTCACTCATGGATCAAGGGTCTGGCCCAGGCATTTACAAGATGCCCGTCGCCCCAGGATCTGGGCACACACGGTGGTGCTTGAGCCAAGAAAGCAAGCAGCTACCTGTGGTATCGCCCAGCAGTGCTAATGCAGCAGTTTCTAGAATCACAGAAATGTAGGGCAGGAAAGGCCCTGGAGGGATCATGTGGTCTACACCCTCCGCGCTGAGGTAGGACCAAGTACACTGCGGTGCTGTGGGTTGGTGTTTCATAAAAGTTGCTGACAAAGTTAAACTGGATTCCCTCTTTAAGCAAAAAACCGTGGCTTTTCTCCTGATTTCCCTTCTGCCTCGCAGCACCCTCTAAAGCAGTGGTTCTCAAACTCTTTGGTCTGTGGCCCACCCCACTCCACGTGAATCTTTCCACGGACCGCCAGCCAACCACCCACGATGACAAAATGGGTACAGGAGGGGCGGAGGATGCAAGGCCTGGGAGGGTGGTTGGGTGCAGGATCAGGCTCGGGGTGGGGAGGGGGGTCTGGGAGGGAGGTTGGGTGTAGGAGTGAGCTGGGGTGGGGGGCGTCTGATCAGATGGCCGGATGCAGGAGCAGGGTGGGCGTTGGGGGGGTCTTGGTGGGAAGGGGGGGTGTGAGGGCGATGGGGGTGCAGGGTCTGGGTATGAAGGGGATGGGGGGCTGCTTACCTGGCTCCACACCCCCAGGCACGTCTTGGTGGGAGGGTGGGGTGTGAGGGCGATGGGGGTGCAGGGTCTGGGTATGAAGGGGATGGGGGGCTGCTTACCTGGCTCCACACCCCCAGGCACCGTCCCCTGCTGCTCCTATTGGCTGGGATTCTGGCCAATGGGAGCAGCAGGGAAAGCCTCCAGGTGAGCAGTTTCCTGCACTGCTGTTCCCCAAGCCGGGGGAGGATACCCCCACCACAAGCCGGATTCAGCCCGCACAGCTCAGGGCTCCCCTCTCCAATGGGGAGCCAGAACTGGTGCTCTAATCTCATGGGAAGGGGGTGATAGCCGTGGGCGGGAGTGCCAGCCTGGGGAGCCAGGGGCCCAAGCCCCCAGCCGGCAGCCCAGCTGCAAGACAGTTGCCGATCACTGGGGTCCTCGGCCCTCACTTAGAGAACCGCTGCTCCTCGTGCACCGTGCAGGTACCAGCGTCCGATCCGTCTTGCGCTTCTGGGCCCCAAGCCGCACATTCTCTGTGAGCCGAAGCAAATCTCCTTCCAGCTGCTGGGGTATGACACCCCCAAGCCTGACACTGTCCCTTTAACTCCCTTCTCAGCCTCATGTGAACGTCCAACCCGTCCCAGGAGAACATAAGAGCATCAGAACGGCCACACTGGGTCAGACCAAAGGTCCATCCAGCCCAGCACCCTGTCTGCCCACAGTGGCCAATGCCAGATGCCCCAGAGGGAGTGATCACAACAGGTAATCCTCAAGTGTTCCCGCCCCTGCCACCCAGACAAACAGAGGCTAGGGACACCATTCCTTCCCATCCTGGCTAATAGCCACTGATGGACCGAACCTCCATGAATCTATCTAGCTCTTTCTTGAACCCTGTTAAACTCCTCGCCTTCTCCACATCCTCTGGCAAGGAGTTCCACAGGTTGACAGTGCGCTGAGTAAAGAAAAGCTTCCTTTTGTTTGTTTTAAACCAGCTGCCTATTCATTTCATTTGGTGACCCCTAGTTCTTCTATTGTGGAAACAAGTAAATAACTTATTCCTTAACCCTGTCAACTGAATTGTTCCTGTTATGCTGGTGTATCCAAGCAAAATTAAGCACACCGTCTGTGGTTGGAGCCATCAGCTGCCCTGCGGGTTAAACTTCCATCTACCTACCCGACAAAGGTCTCCCTGCTGGCAGCAGTGGCCAGGAGAGCAGCAAACACCAGCAGCCCCCTCATTTTCAGCTCCGCAGGATGCCTACTGGGAAATGGAGGCTTTTTAAATACTCCTCTGACCTGGGGCAGGTTCCAGCTGTAACCTCGTGCGACCGCTCAGCTCTCAGGATGTGTCAACAGAGCCCTGCCTCCGCAGCCGGCCTCTTTCCCATGGCTCAGTGCCCTGCCCTGTCCGGAAAGAGCCGATACCTTCTGTTCCCGCCTGGAGCCCAGGGAACGTGCCACCTGGAAAAGGGGCGATGTTCGTCATTGCGGGGGTGGGCCTCCGCACGATAGCAAGGAACGGTAGGGGCCCTCTACCCCCTCACTTTGCAGTCCCAGCTCTTGAAGCTCGGAGGCCCATGAGGTTCCGATCTTGGGGCTGGGAGGACTTGCAGAGGTGGAGGGGCCTGTGAGTGGAAGGGGTTAGTCAGCGTAATGGGTGTATGTTTCCTGTTATAAAGGAGGGGGAAGAACCTATGATCTGTCCCCACCCTAGGGCTGTGTCATCTGCTTTTCCGGAAAAACTTGCCAGCTGTCTACACTGGTCGCTTGAATTTCCGCAAAAGCACTGACGATCTCATGTAAGATTGTCAGTGTTTTTCCAGAAATACTATGCTGCTCCCATTCGGGCAAAAGTCTTTTTCCGAAAAACTTTTGGGCAAAAGGGCCAGTGTAGACAGCAGAGATTTGTTTTCCGCAAAAAAGCCCTGATTGCGAAAATGACGATCGGGGATTTTTTGCGGAAAAGCGCGTCTAGATGGCCCACGGACGCTTTTCCGCTAAAAGTGCTTTTGCGGAAAAGCGTCCTGCCAATCTAGACGCTCTTTTCGGAAAATGCTTTTAACGGAAAACTTTTCCATTAAAAGCATTTCCGGAAAATCATGCCAGTGTAGACGTAGCCTAGGAGTAAAGAGGGAGCCAATACAATCCCGCTGGGGAAGGGACGGCATCCCCTGTACTGTTCCGGCTTTGCCTGCCTGTTGTTTTACTCTCTACTTGCTGGCTTCACAGGGAGGCTCGGAGACTCACTACTGCTGCCTGCTGAAGGAGCACTCCTTTAGCTCCAGTAGCTGACTTACTAGGGGTTTCGAATGGGTCCCATTTGAAGAGAGATTAAAAAGACTTGGACTTCTCTAAGGCAGCAAGAGGGAGGAAGCAACTAGTTGACTATCTGATAAGCATTTGCTTATCGGATAGTTGGCTAGACCTTAACATACCTACTTTGTACTCACTTGCAAATTCTTACTGCACGCCATATTGTTGCTCCGTGCAGGCTTTTGAGGCAAGAGTTTTGCCTTCATACGTGTTTGTACCATACCTAGTACATTTGCCAACAGTCTTCAGCCCATCTAAAGGTCCCTAAAGATGGTAGACTATTTTTTTTCTGACTGATCCACCAATGAGATGTCTTCTCCTTAATTTCAGTCTCCTTTTTTCTTCTTTAAGAGGTCAACAGTGAAAAATGGAGATTACACAGGCTATGGTTAAGAAAGTTCTCTAAGTAGGAGATGTGACTAGAAGGGAAGGAGACACATCATCGACGGGAACGTTTGCTCCCATCAGCCTCCTGGTGTGGGGACGTTGCCAAGCTCGGCTTAAGGTAAGCTGATTCCAGCTGCGTGGTCTACGTGTTCTACGCAGTTGGAGTTGTGTACCTTAACCTGACCTTCCGTGTCTAGTGTGGACCTAAAACATAAGAACATAAGAACGGCCATATTGGGTCAGACCTACAGTCCATCTAGTTCAGTGTCCTGTCTGCCGACAGTGGCTAATTCCAGATGCCCCAAAGAGAGTGAACACAACAGGTAATCACTAAGTGATCCTTCTCCTATCATCCATTTCCAGGAAAACAGAGGCTAAGGGCACTATTCCTACCCATCCTGGCTAATAGCCATTGATGGACCTCACCTCCATGCTAGCCTTCCCCACTGTGGCGTAGTGTGGGTACCTTGCTGGTTGCTGGGCTTGGACTGTGGGTGACCTCCACTGGTTACTGTCTGTCCCACGGCCCAGCAGAGTAGCTGATGGGACAGGGAGGTACCTGTTCGACCAGTTACCTCCCAGGGAGAGGAACAAAGGAAGGAGGTGAGGTCAGCCCTGGCTGGGGGGCAGGGCTGGAAGGGACAGTTTTTTAGTTTCTGTCTGGTATCATGGAGGAGGCAGCCTAAGGAAGGGGCTGGGATTTAAGGGCCTGGTCTCCCCCATCTCTAGAGGGGCTGAGGCATCCTAGGCCTGCCCTGTAACTGGATTACATCTATGCTGTGCTATATCCTGAAGAAGCAATAAACTCCCTCTATTCTACTGGCAAGTAGAGTCTGTTCAGGCCATTACGGGGGTGCAGGATTCGGGGAAACCCTGACGTGCCGTCACACCCACATCCTCTGGCAAGGAGTTCCACAGGTTGGCTGTGCGCTGAGTGAAAAAAAACTTCCCTTTGTTTTAAACCTGCTGCCTATTCATTTCATTTGGTGACCCCAAGTGCTTATATTTCGGGGATAAGTAAATAACTTTTGCTTATTCACTTTTTCCACACCAGTCATGATTTTATAGACCTCTTTCATATCCTCTTAGTCTCCTCCTGGCCAAAGATTTCCTGGTGCTTGTTCAGTGATCACCCTGCGATGAGGGGAATACCATGAAATCTTCTGTGTCCAGCCCTACCTAGGGGGTACAAACTCAAGAGGGACGTGCATGGCCAGCATCCTGTATTTCGGGGTGGTTCTCCTCCCCTGTGAGAGGCCCACACTAGGGGAACCCCGATCTCCCCTGAGTGCTTAACAGAGCTCAGGCAGAACAGGCTATGTAGACCCCCACCCTTTTTTCTGAGTTTGAGGCTACCCAGCAGGGAAAGCCTGAAAATCAACCTAGAGAGAAACAGCAAAGTATGGCAGAGACTGGAGGAGCTAGGAGCTAGGTTTAAGTGGAGTCTGGCAAGGTCCCCCAACACGAGGGTGCCGCATGCAGGCGAGTCCTCAGGAAGACTCAGTCTGAAAGGGTTCCAACTGAAAAATTTAGGAGGAGAAAAGAGGCTACTCTGTGGCATGATAGTGCAGGGTTGCTCCATGGCATTATTCCAGATTTACCCCACTGTACAGGAAAGCAGCACATGGCCCATTCCCATTATGGTCATATGAGTATTATTTTATACTAGAAGATTTACCCAAGTCCTTCAGGGAAGGGGGGTGGCAGTGTGGGGGTGCAGGAGTCAGGGCATGGGCCTGGGGATATGGAAAGCTCAGGGCAGGGATCTGGGGATGTGGGGGAGGGTGCAGGAGTTTGGGTTGGGGTGAGGAGAGGCTCCGGCAGGGGTTAGGAGGAAGGGGAGCTTAGGGGAGGGGGTCTCAGGGGAGTGAGTGGGGGTGGCCGCCCAGGATGGAGGAGGGCACGCACCCTGCCCACTGGCTTCTCCCCAGGGCTGGCCAGGATGGGCAAGGCTGCACAGGCTGCCTGACATTGCTCCTAGGCTGGCCCCCCATGCTGGGGGCTGCCAGCCAGTGGCTGCTTGCTGGCCTGCTTGCTGCCCCCTTGTGGTCATGTGTGAGTATAACTGCTCCTGCTCTCCCACCCCTCCCTTTCCGTTTGATGGAAAACAATCCCATTCCAGGCACATCCCATTGTCCTGGCACAACCAAACCCTGACCTTGCTTTAAGTTACGATGAGGCCAAATGTGGTGGTCCTAGCTCTTATCCTGTAGGAGTTCTTAACAGACAGACAAACACTCTAAAATATATAGTAGATTCTGAGTAGTGTGGTTAGGCGTTTGCTTCAGTGGGGGATCATTTTTCTCCAGCATGTTTGTAGTGCCCTTGTGAAAAAGATGAGCCATTTATATATAAAGGACACAGAGGCTACATCAACACTGCAACACTATTTCGGGATACCAGAGTATCCCGAAATAGCTATCCTGTGTCTTACCAGCAAGCTCGTTATTTCAGGCTCGTTATTCCAACATCCCTGTAAACCTCATTCCAAGGGATGTTTTATATAGCGACTAATTTCGAAATCTGGGCAGCGACAAATTACAAATGAAGCTATTTTGAAATAAGATCAAAATAAGATACGCAATTTGCATAGCTCAAATTTCATATCTTATTTCGAGCTACGGGTGCAGTGTAGACGCACCCAGACAGACCCTAGATTTCCCTCTGGCGCTCTAATTCTCCAATTTAATAACAGCCTGTGCTTCTTCCTGTCACCGCATGAGGTCTCCCTACATCCTGGCCTGGTCCCACAGCTGACTGCATTCTGGGCTGGTGACTCACAGACAAACCTGGGGAAGGGACATTTTTCCTCTGCAATAAGCGTGTCCCAATAGAAAAAAAAGTGAGTCCACATCTAATGCAAGGCTGAATCCTTTATTAAGCGTGATGCTGGCCCCTAGGCATTGGCTTAACCACCAGGCCTCTGCCGCTGTTGCTGATGCTGTGTTGGATTAATAGAGATTATCCCGAACGTGCTCCATGATCTTCATTAGCGCCAGCCACGTTTCTTCCGCTGTCGGGATGATCTGGCTGGCTGGAAGGAGGAAGCCATAGTGCCCGGTGTCCCGCAGCTCGAAAGTGTAGGAGTACTTGACCCCGTTGTCATAGCTCCAGTCGATCGTGGTGCCATCCGCGCGGTCTGGAAAAGAGAGAAGCCGAGACACAGTGCTGGAGACAAGAGTCTGTGAACAGTGTGGGACATGTCCGGCCCTGCTTACACAAGATGTAAAGGGGTTGCCGGAGATCCTTGCTAGGAGTGCTCTGAGCCCACAGGCACTGTGCGATGCGTTGTGTTCATCTGTTCACAACAGACATCACCGGCCTTGCACACGTAGCCACTATACTTGTGAGTTGCGGGCTTTGCTGTCGGCCCCCCCTGAATTTGGGCAATCTACAAACACGGAACCCCAGTGTGCACAAAATGCCACATGCAGGCTTGCCAACGGGTGGCACACAAGGGGCCCCAGGTCATGGCGATACAAAAGGGCCAGAGACCTGGGCCCTTTAAATCGCCGCTGGAGTGCGGTGCTGCTTGCTCCAGGCTGCTCTGAGGGCTGCCTGGGGGGGGGAGGATGGCACTCGCTGGGCATCACTGAGGGCTGGATTTTCCCAGTCCTGTTCCTTCTGCCTGAGGCTCCGCCCCTTCTGGGAGTACAGAGCCAGCACCACCCCCATCATGCCTAGGGGCCCAGAAAGTCTGTCAGCCCCTAGCTACATGCCTGCCTGGTCCCAGCATGAATTCTAAGCCCTGGCGGTTCTGTGGCCTCCGAGCTCACTGGTACAGCCACAGTTAAGACTGTGGGTGGGCATGGCACACGGGTTCGGTCTGAAATAATACTGCTGGTACCGTGCAGCCATCGTGATTCGGTGAGGGAACGTGAGGAAGAGCATAGGTCTCCCTCTGCTCAGCCCTGCCTCAGTGACAAGCCACTTACAAATGGTGTCGATCGTGCTCCCATAGGTGTACTGCGTCCCGTGTAACGCCGCTAAGGCCGCCACTGCCTGGCTAGCTAGCTCGTTCTGCAAACAAAGAGAGTAAGAGGTGAAAGGCCGGGAGGCGCTTGAGTTTTCAGCCCCTCTTTCCTGCGTGCAGTAGCAGCACGCACGTGCCTGACATTTCATGATTGGGGACAGGCTATTTCAATCCTGGAATGGTGGGTGGAGCTCAGTGAAAGGCTCCGCCCCCCCCCAGATGAGGGATGGGCCGCAGAACCCAGATTGTAACTGAATGTGGGGAAGAAAAGTGAACAAACAGGGATGGGGTCAAAATGAGGGACCCAGAAGGGGACCCCAAGCAGAGAACCCTGGGCAGTGCTCACAGAAAGAGCCCAAGGAATCACTGGTTGCCACCCAGAGGAAATCTAGTCTCCAGCTGTCCTTAGAAGACATGCACCATGGGTAGCTTCTCCCACGCTGTCCTGTCCAAGTGGCTTAGGCCTGGACCTACAAAGGTATCTAGGCTCTTAACAGGGCCAACGACAGGGGGAAGGAGAAAAGGGACAGTTGCCCTAGGGCCTGGCAATTGAGCAAGAGGTGGAGCTCTGGGCCCTTTAAATCGCCATTGGGGCCCTGCGTGGTGCAGTTCGAGTGGTACTGGCTTCTGGCTGCCA